GTGTTATAATTGGATACCGAGAGCAGTCTCGCTCTTCGAAACCGCCGTTCCACCGCTTGATCGTTCGCCTGGAAAACAATCTTATCAACCCTCAGCTGTTGTTGCTCGTGGATCGGTGGATTTTCGAAGAAGTTAGATATTTCCGTGCGCACGGAATAAAGTTTCTCCGATTCAATTCCAATTTTCATTCGTAATTTTTATTTTTTTTCATTATAATTTCTTACGAATATTTGTGAGACAAACAAATCGAGTCAAGTGAAGATGGAACAACACCGATACGCTCAGACAAGTGAAATGAACCCACTATCAGTCAGAGACTACGAACGAGACAAGCAAGGGGTATAAAATTGTTCCAGAGTGGAAATAGGCTTGTTCAACGATTCAACAAAACGAACAAATTCGAACAATTTTCGAAGATTTCAACGAGATACATTTATTATTATTATTATTAACCGTTGATATTAACGTAATACGAACGAGCGTTCAATTAAATACCAGCCTCAGAATAGAAGCCTTCCATCTGAATATCGTTTGTTTAATAACAACAACCTGGCTCCTCGAATTCGAACTCGCTATTCAAAATGCAAAGCCGTTTTATAAAATTATGATTTCATTGCCAGCCCGCCCCTGGGATACGCGCGAATCCGATAATATCGATCGCATTGATATTAGTTCCTCTCGTTAAATCCAGCTTCAAAGGGAGATCACTATCGGCCGAGATTGTTAATTGTGATTTTAACCGATGGAAATAGGAAACGCCGTCGCGTTCATTATTCGCGCAAACGTGATAACTTTGTAACGCGATCGATAACACGAATCCGATAAATTGAATAATTTGCAAGGAACATTGACCGCTGAATCCACCATGATCCAAGATTCTTTTATTTTCGAACAACGATATCTCGAGTTTCTTCGGTTCAAAGTCACCGGAACAATTCCGGACGCACGGCTTCCATTTAATATTAAATCTCCCTCTTAAATCTCTTGACGCGATAATAAATATTAAAGTATACTCGTCCTCCCTCGATTTCTTGGCTCGCGAGGCCAATTCTTGTTCGACCAAACTTTCCAACCCCCTCTGCTATAATTTCTCCTCTCGCGTCAGAGACAGAAACAGAGATCTCTCACGCGATCGATTGATCGCGGTGGACGGTGAGCAAAGTAAGGGCTGTAACAGGTGGAACGTAAACTTGGCGGTTAGAGGCCGGTAAATATTTGACGAACCGAGGGGGGGAGGGAAGGGCTCTATAGCCAGGGGATGATAAGTTGGGGCCGATCGTAGGGGCATTCCGTGTTCGAGCAAGATGGAGCAGGAATGCCTTCCCACGCTCCCCGATAATCTAATTCGACCGAATCAAAATCAATGTCAAATACCCATAAACGCGACATAACGGCTTAACGCGTTGAACAGCGGGACCCTTGTCCCGTGCGATGGATCGATATCGAACGCTATTGCGACATCCTCGATCCGAGGATACAGAGACATTTGCTTTTACGCTTCGAGAACGAACATTATAATCAACTTATTCAAGTATTCCTTTTTATTTTCGTTTCACGAATTTGAAGGTTTCCAAGTTACTTGGAATACTCTGTCGATAAGATTAATTCGTCGCCAAGTTCCTCTTCGAGACGAGGCGAGAGATACATCTGATTCGTCGTCTAATTCTCGAAAGATACTTTCATTTGTACTATTTTAAATTACGATTATATACTCGTGGTATATCGGGTTGTAAACTTTCTGGAAGAATTTAATTGTTAAAAACAAAAATTTCTGAAAAAGTCTGTCACTTGGATACGATTTCCATGTTGGTCGCTTCGACTTTACGAATGCTCGTAGCAACGAGATGAAAATATTACGAGACAGGTGTCAGAGTTTGTCTTCACGCCATTTTTGCCGCGAAATCATGGCAGCATCGCGATTTTAACGATTCACGTTTCCGGCATATCGTTCCCCGTACTTGTTCCCGCGAAGGGAGCGATTTCCGGTTGCTTTTTACACTCGCATTATCACGTCATAATCCAGGTCAAACACTGACGTTAAGAACGAGGGTGAATTTTACGATCCACCTGTTCCTCCGCCTCGAGAACTCGAACGAGCCGTGTCCCTCCATTTTCACCATCTTTATTTCCGCTAAAGGATAAATTCCTTTCCATATTCTTTTTTTCTTTCTTAAAAATTATAATTATCATCAAAAGTTTCATCTCGAAACCAAGTTCCAAGTTTCTTTGTTAAAATAAGTCTCTCCCACGAATGAAATTAAAGCTTAAAATCTCGCATTTTTCTTTTCCTATCCCTTAAGCCGATTTTCTTTCTTTCTTTCAGTTTTCGAATTTCAACTCGAAGGAACGAAACTTTGACAATTCTTCAAGATGAAAGTTTCCATACAAACGAAATAGAAAATTGCACGTGTTTTCTAATTATATCTTCGAATCCCATTTTCTTTCTCTTCGCGCGCTATGCTCTCCATCCATCCATCCGTCAAAAGCTTGCATAAGATCGCCAACAGTTTCAAGCAATTCGATTGAAGAAACTGATCCTTCCCGCGCTGCACTTTAACGAACTCGTAATAAGTGGAGGGATCCACGAGCGAGAATAAAGGGGCGAGGGTCTGAAGGAAATCGATGGAAAATTTTCATTTCGAGGCAAAGTTTTCGCGGCCCATTGAAAGTTTAAGGAGCTTTCGCGTTGGCGTATGTTAATTTACGCGCGAGACTGCATTATCCCACCGGTAATGTATTCACCTGGAGGGTGAATCACCCTCTCTCTCGGATCCATCCGTCCACGAATCTGCCGCGTTTCTTGTTAGAATTCCATTCTTTCCGGCTCGTTGTAACCCTGAAAGAGGATCACCGACGACGTGACGTGCGAGTTTGTCGTATCCAGTCAAGCATAAGTAGCAGAGACCCTATACAGTTCGAGTTTATTCTACTTGTACCGTTTGTGTACAATTTCGATCGATACAAACTTCGTGTATCAAAATTTCTAATTCAACGAAAAGATAAACTCGCGAGAGAAGTCAGTCTCGCATGATGCGATCGAAAATTCAGAATTTGAATTTTACCTCCGACGACTTCCATCCCATCTACGCGAGTTCGAAGAATTCTCAAACCTGTTTATCGATTCGATATCAATTCAGAACTTATATATAGTCCGAAGAAACTAATTTCTCTACGATGAAAAGAAAACCACGAAACCTCTTTTCATTACTCGAATCTCTCTTTATAAATTTCTTTATGCCACCATCGTCTCAATTATTTTCTCAACAGAAGAAAGAATTCAAACCTGTCTTGTATCACGCGATACAAATTCATTTTCGATTCTTGATACGAATATTATATATATTCTAAAGAAATCGAATTTTATTTTAAAGAAAATCTCTCTCTATAAATCATCATCATCCACAGAAGAAAGAGCATTCAAACCTGTTATATCACGCGATATAAAATTCACAACTTGAATCATCTTCGATTCTTCGATACGAATATTATACATATTCTAAAGAAACCGAATTTTATTTTAATTTCCACGAAATAATTTCTCTACAATAAAGAGAAAATCTTT